ATCGGAGCAAAACTGCAACTGCTTATATACATCCATTATGGTTTTTATAGTAAAATAATTTGTAGACTTAGCAAATTATATCCAGCAAATAGTGATTAGTACTCTTAGCAAATCTTTTTGTTTTCAATCCATATAATAACGAAAAGATTTTGCCAGACCAGCAGAAAATTTGCTGGGCCAACAAATTATTTTTCTCCGTGCATTACTTGAAAGAAAGAGAATAAACTGAGCAATCGCTTTTCTTAACAGTAGAATAATGTTTTTCTGTACGTGATAGGGATCAAACACGGATACTCGCGAATAAAACTATCAGGAACAACGAATTTTACCAAATTACCAGCAAATTGCCATCTTACCATAATTTACCGTAAGCAATCGTCATTTTTCATCGCTAGTCGTAACAGTTGTCACAACAATGTCGTAAGAAATTTTAGCACCATTGACTTTGGTGCTATTTGGGTTCCGTTGCCCGTCAATTAGAACGCGATCGGGAGCGGTACATAGCGAAACGCCTCGCGGACGAAAGGGGGAAAAAAAGAGGCGACAGTGCGGCATAAAGAGAAGAAGGAAAGCCACCGGGCGAAACCCTTCGCGAGGGTTTCGGAAGTTCGGCAGCGCGCCAATTTTCCAAAAGCGGAACGGTGACTAAGACTGCGCGGCGGCCAATCGGGAAGCGGGCGCAATTTTAGCACCGCCAATCGCGTGCCACCTGCCACGAGAATTGCCACCCCGAGTGTCAACAACGGTGTGCTTTCCCGCGACTCCGCCGCATCTGCGATCTCCTCTCTTCCTCTCCCGTTGAAGAAGCGCCAAAACACTGTGTCCCGCCACTCGCTTCTCCATCGCTCCGCCACCGTTGGATCGAACATTAAAACACTTCTATCCTTCAGTATCTCGAAACGCGAGGAGATTGCGTAACGCCGTGCTCGCCACGCGCGGGAATGGCTTTCGAAGTGATCGCGGCGGATGATCGATTGGACGTGGCTAAGCGCGAAGAAACCGGCTGTTAATGCGAAGTCGGATCACAAGTCCAGTCGATAGCCGCGCGCGTGTAATAGCTATGAAAAGCTGGTTTCTAAGTCTTAGCCGGCTTCTTTCTTTATTTGCAGTAATTTATTAGAGGCTCGATACACCGAAACAAACGGCACGATATCCCGTTCGTTCGTAATGTGACAATTTTCGAATAGACGAACGTGTCGTGCCGGTCGTAATAGTTGTGGAAAGCCTGTTCCTAAGTCTCGTCGGCATTTTTACTTGTAATGATTTATCGAGCGTCTCGATATACCAGAACAGACGTCACGATCCCTCGCTCATTTTCTCGTAATTTTCTCGTACACAAAAGTGTAATCCTACTCTTAGCGGAACCATCTTATATGGGGTGAGACAATAACTGTAGCCGCCTTGAATATCCTCGAAGCAAACGAAAGAAACAAAGGTGATCTTCATGTTTGCGAAGCTTCTTATGCTTCTTTTCTATTAAGCTTCTCTTCTGAGAGAAGTAGCTTCGAACATCTTAAGGCCAACTTTGTATTTTCGTAGCTTCGTAGCTTTGTACTTTGTAGCTTCGAGGATATTCAAGATGGCGATACTTATTCGATTAAATTTAATCGAATTCGTAAGTATATTAATTTTTAAATTAATTAAATTTTATATAAATTTATATTTAAACTTTAAGTTTATTTTATTAATTTAAAATTACATTATAATAAAAATAAAATAATAAAAGAAAATAAAAAAATTAGTATAAAATAAATTATTTTATTATAACTAATTAAATAAATTAATTTATTTTCATATATTTTTTTATATATAATAATGTAAGTTATATTTAAATAAACATATATTATAATTAACGAATTAATTATAAATATATAAAATAAAATAATAATCTATTGATAGCCTCGATATGCCGAGACAAATGGCACGATCACCCGTTCATTCGTAACATGAGCATTTCTCAATGAGAAGAGACAAATCGAGATATTCCAAGTCGTAAAAGTTATGAAAAGCCTGTTCCTACGTCTTATCGATTCTTTTATTTGTAATAACTTATTAAGAGCCTCAATATACCGAGACAAATGACACGAACTCTCGCTCACTCGTAAGGTGAGAATTTTTGCATGTGGAAAGACGAACGTGACACGCCAAGTCGTAAAGCCAAGCTGTGTGCACAACGAAATTATATTTTAATTCAAATTACTAAATTTAGACGTTCGAGATAGCCTGCCCGGTTCTACCGGTTGCGGCCGTGTAAGGCTCGACAGTAGAATGCAAAAGAGACGCGCTCGTTGCGCGTGCCACTCGGAAGGAAAAGGGCAATAGTATCGACCGCGACGATTTTATCGTCGTACTCCTTTCCCCCGCCAGCTGATCGGTCTGTCTCTATTAATCTCAAACACCTGGTCTCTCTGGCGTTGGTGCCAGCCATGACCCTACATACCCGATCGTTCACACCGGTGATCCCGCTTTCAGAGCAGCTCGTGCAGAAAGCGGCATCCTAAAAAAAATCGTCTAGCCATTCGCGTAGCTCGTTCGCCCCAATTTGCCTCTGTGCGTCTCCTGTACGAAACAAAATAGTTAGCTCTGTTATCTCAGCTTGAGTATCAGGCGCGCATATTTAGCGCTAAATATGCAATTGTTTTCTAATACAGTCGGTGTGTACACACAGAAAACTACATACTGCATTCAAATAAATGTTACTTGTTTCAAGTTTTTCAGAAGTTTATTTATATATCCGCAAATCAATCATAAGTCCACGCCACAAATATCACATTTATTCATCTCACTTAAAAAAATATATATTTTGCTAATGAATATGATTCTATTACACTCTAAATTTCTTGGAGTGAAACTTCACTCCAAGGTAGTAAAAATTGCGCCACTCGAAATTAGAGCGAGAACTTCACTCCAAACATGTGAAAACTCACTCCAAGCGAGCAATATTTCCACTCGTTTGGAGTGAAGTTCTCGCTCTAACTTTGAGTGGCGCAATTTTCACTACCTTGGAGTGAAGTCTCACTCCAAGAAAGTTAGAGTGTAATGCGATATTTTTGCAATTCAACAAAATTGAAAGGAGTTATAATAAAAAACAAAACACATCTTTTCAAGAACGGTACTGTTCGAAAAGTTGATTTGGGCGAATTTTACCTGTACTTAGGAGTGCTGGAGAGTTGAAGAAGAGAGTTGAGAGTTCTTCCGCAAATTGCGAAAGTTCAAGCTATGGAAATACGACGGACAGAGGTGCAGGCGAATATTCGCTTCGAATACTCACTCGACCCACAAATGCCTTCCTCACAGCGAATGGAGTGTCCTCGAACGCAGACGCATAGCATAAATATTTAGGCTGTCCAGATGGCAATGCCTGTTTGACGATTCCCTCGGCAAACAAACCGACGTCAATGACAGTCTCGTGCGACATCAAAACGCAAAATCTCGTATACGGACGTTCAACTTGCCTAGATAAATTTCCGCACAGCTCCGCGCGACATTTCTCGTCAATAACGGACATCCATTATCGTCACGAGGACGCAGACACTCGATATTTTTGCAGAAACTGAACGACAATGCGAGCACAGTATACATTTTTCAAAGACAACAGATGGGTTTTCCCGCGTGAAAAAAAAACTTGATGTTCTGGAACGTCTCAATGTTAATAATAAACAATATGTTAATATATGGACACAGAGAGTGTCCAGAGCAACCTCCAAAGCTCTCGTGTGGAGGTATAGTATTTAATTTAATTATTAATTAAAGAAAATTGATGCGGGGATAATAGTCGCTCACGATAATATATTAATGTTACCTTATTAATAACTAGAAATCTACAAGGTTATTGGAAAAAAGGTAGAGGACTTTTTTGTTCAGTTTGATCTAATGTATAAACACACGACGGCAGATGTCGCCATTACAGCTCATCTATACCATATCTCGCGTGATCATTCACAAATCTTCTTTAATTAATATATCAATAATTATTACGAGTATCGCAAAACAGTATAGGACTCTTATATTCACCTTAATCCATACTGTGTCTCCACAAGAGCTTCTGAGACACCCTGTATATCATATCAATAAATATAACAATATAATAGACATATAATATATAACGTGTCCTCTAGACTGAACATGAAATAAGAATAAATAACATATAAGTCGCTATAAAACCATACATTCAGCTCTCATCTCGTCTCGTCTCTTATACTTACGTCAAAATGATCGACGCTCCAATTCGGGTTGATCGATGATTCTTTTCAAGGACCCTTTCAAACACTAATGCACAAAGCTAACACAGTTACACCAGAGAGGAACAAAGAACCCCCATAACGAGGCAGATTACGTGCATTAAACAATCCTTTGTTTTATTGCCGCGGAAACGGCTCGCTGTCGTTACAATTCGGTGAGCACAGAGCTGTGTCTCTCTTCTTTCTCTCCTCCCTTCTCTCTCTATCTTTTCCCATCCATTTGTCTTTCTCTGTCTTTCTGTCCTGGCGATCACGAATTTACTATAAAACCGCCCTTGGCAAGACAAATGGATCCTGCTTGAAATTACAATATGAATCGCGCCTACCTTTTTGAGGAAGGACTAGACTGGTAGAGGATTAGAAAGAGTGGGAAGAGGAAAGAGAGGATGTTAGAAAAAGAACAGAAAAAAATAATCATACTTGTGGTTTTGTAAGCAACGCTCTCTTATTTATTCACGAGACGTATCGGTGTTTACATTTTGTTGTAGACTGAATATATATTTACGAGGAATAGACGTTATATATATATATATATATATATATATATATATATATATATATATATATATATTCAAGTTTTCTGACTTAGCTTCGCCCGAGTCGAAATTCTGATGCTACTTTAACGCTCTTAAAAATAGTTTGCGCCTATTTAGACGGTTTATAGCCTAGGAGCTAATATATATATATATACATATATATATATATATATATATATATATATATATATATATATATGTATATATTTGTGTGTGGGATTAGGTGGCAGAAACAAATGCAAGGATCCTGTGACCCTGTGTCGCTCGGGAATCCCGTTACGGTTGAAACCACAGCGTGAAATCGCAGCATCCGTCTGTGCCACAGTGGGTGAGTGTTTTGAATTTATTTACCGGACATGTGAAAAATTAACATTTTATTTTTTACTGCGTAAGATGCGTTTCCGGCAGGATATATTTTTGTACATTGTTGCCCTCAGTCTGGAACGTTTCTACATTAGCTCTCAGAATTTTCAAGTTTTCTGACTTAGCTTCGCCCGAGTCGAAATTCTGATGCTACTTTGACGTTCTTAAGGATACTTTGCGTCTACTTAGATGGTTTATAGCCTAAGTAAAACCTACTTTGATGATATTGACACTCATTTCCGAGTCGAAATTTTGACTCTAAATTGAACCTTGAATTCTACATCGCAGTAGGAGCTAAGATAGCAAAGTAGGTTTAATTCTAATGATATAATTTACTTTTACTTTGACTCTGATGCTGTCTGAAATATATGCAACAAATAAAATGTATATTTTGTATGCTATTTGACGTTTCTATTTTGTTATTTATTAAATTTTTTAAATATTTCTATAAAATACATATATTCTATGTAGAAACTAAAGCTTTAATAGAGATTCGCAATTGAACCTATGTACTTTGCTTCCTGAGATTTTACTATCATACAACCTACTTTAATGCTAAAGAAAACGAAAGCGGAAATTTCAGACATCATCAAACTTGATGATTAATTTAATACGGTCCTGAACATAAATTTTGATGCTACTTTGACGCTCTTAAGGATATTTTGCGTCCACTCAGACGATATTGATATTCATTAACTTCTCTTTTGAACCTTTAACTTTACCTTGTCAAAATTTTGACGCTACTTTGACGCTCTTAAAAATAGTTTGAGCCTACTTAGATAATCTACAACTTAGGTGAAACCTATTCTGACGATATTGACACTCATTTCTGAGACGAAATTTTTATCCTATGTTGAACCTTGAATTCTACACCACAGTAGGAGCTAAGATAGCAAAGTAGATTTAATTCTAATGATATAATTTACTCCTACCTGATATCTGAAATATATGCAACAAATAAAATGTATATTTTGTATGCTGTTTAACGTTTCTGTTTCGTTATTTATTAAATTTTTTAAATATTTCTATAAAATATATATATTCTATGAAAGCGGAAATTTCAGACATCATCAGAGTCAAAGTAGGAGTAAATTGTATCATTAGAATTAAATCTACTTTGCTATCTTAGCTCCTACACGCAAAAAAAGGACTAGCTTTCAGAGCTAAAAAATAGCTGTGGCAGATAAGATGTGTCACTGAAATAGGGACAGCTAATGTCGATACTACCGAAGCTAAATTTATTGAACTTAGGCGCTACAGCGAGAAATATTAGTTGCTAGAAATAAATGACTGTAACAAATGATTGTAGCTGTACGGCAAACTTCTTTAATATATGCA